TGTGAGGCAGCGCGGTGCCGAGCCGTGCGCGGCCCTGCCGAGGCCCTCTGTCCCAGCCCTGTCCTGCTCCGGCCGCAGGCACCCGCTACCCCTAACACCAAGCACGGGCGAGCGAGCCTGTTTCCATGGAAACCTCGCAGTGACTCAGGACTTTGGGACCGGCTGGAAACAAGCAGGAGCAGCAGACACCTGGGGAGGCTCCTCGGAGGGTGTTGGAGGAAGCCGGGCGGACTGGAGTGGGGCGCGGGCCCCTGTGGGCAGGTCCCTGTGGGCGCACGGCAGGACCGCTGCACGGGCAGCAAAACCACCCCGGGAGCCAGGAGCCAAGACCCTTCTCCCGACACGAGCATTACTGCAGCACTGGGAAGTCAACACTGCAGCACGCGGAGACGGGGACCGGCTCCCCACCTGCCTCATCGCACACAGCCCTCGCGTCCAACTCAGGATGGAGACCCAGAGACGCGTGCGGACCCCGGGGCTCACGGCGCTCAACTGCAGCGGCTGCTGCTCCTGCCTTGCAGCACCTTCCCCCCATCTCTCCTGCCGGCCGGAGCGGAGCCCCCAACTTGTCCCTGGCAGCAATTCCCTTCCTGCACGGGAGCCGCAGCCTGGCCGTGGTGCCTCCCTGCCGCATGGCTCAGCCCGCGCAGCTCGCGCTTCCCCGCACGCTGCCCCACTAGGTCACTGCCCAGACATGGAAATTAAGTTGCAGGATTGCAAAACAGCTCTCTGCCAGGTCCCGCAGGCACGGCCCTGCTGCTGCCCAGCGTCTGCCTGCCCAGGAAAGGCTTTACCTCATAAAACCCACTGCAGGCACTGAGGTGGGGTGGGCAAACTCTGCACAGGGAGTTAGCACAAGCATCGCGCTCGGTGGCAGCAGCTTAGTCACGTTTGTGCCTACAAAGCCCCACTGGCCTACCCACCTCAGAGACAGGGCACCGTCTGAGGGGAAGGGTGACCGTCAGGAAAACCAGTGTTAGAAGAGCCGCCAGGGACAGTCGCTGTCCCCCCTCACTGAAGGCAGTACCGTCTTTGAGCTCGGTAGCGGACCGGGGAGTGAGGGCAGTCTCTGCCCCTCTCCCTGGCACACGGCAGGCCACAAACGCGAGATCCTGACGGGAGGGAGCGAGCCTTCAGCCGTGCTTCCTCTTCAGCCATACTGACTGGAGCGCCTCACAAAGTGTGACCATAAGGACCCACATCTGGTCTGCTCCCCATGCATATCCCCTCCTGGCACTTTTTTGAAGAAGGCACTGGACACCAGTCCTCAGACTACTCCTAACCCCATTCCCTTACCTCTGTCCTTCCCTGTCTATGTTTTGGGCAGACTATGGGATCCTTTGCAAAGAACGATGCAACCGAACGACTGCTGCCCACTTTGGCCAGCACTTAAAGCAGCACGGGGGTTTCAGCCGGGGTGGTGTTTATTTTCTCCAGGTGCTCAGCATACACACTTCGAGTTAATTAATCACTCGCCAGCAACTAATGCCAATCCCAGCCAATCTCAGAGTTTTCTTATCACCGCATCCGCCTGTGTCTGTTTATCCCTCATCTGCTGAACTGCATCTGCCTTTTGGAGGATGTGACTGCCTGGATAAGCCTGATACAATTTCTTGTGATCTCCATCTTCCTCTGAGCCATCCACCAGTCTGTTTGTGCATGCTCGTTCCCTCAAGAAGAGCTCCCCTGGCAGGGGCTGAAAGGCTCTTTTTTTGAAGAATGCTCTCATTCTCCACCTCAAAATGCCTGCTTTGCATCATACCAAGTATACGGCTATGTCAGGAGCTCAAATCTGCACACAGCTTTCCTGCAGGAATTCCCCATGCTATAGTTCGCTTCAGCCTGCTCTAGGAGGTCTCTCACCCCTTCTAACAAGAGCTGCCTACATCCTCCTGGCAGTTTATCAGACCACTCTAAAGCCTGACAGCAAACGCCCCAGTACATGATCTAGCTCAGGCGCAGTCTCGTAAGAGGGCAGGGCATCTGGCCTCCCTATTGGGACTTACTCAGTTGTTCCAGGCAGTTAAGGTTCCCTCATGAAATAGCACAAGTTTCCTTGCAGCTCATTTCCACTACCAAGCCGCTGATGACAGGCTGACTATTCACCCCAGCTCCACGAAGCAGCCCCAAACTTGAATTTGCAGCGAGTTCAGAGCCTGGCGCGGGGACCCTGCCCAGAGTGTGGTCAGTCTAGCGCAGATGGGAAAACAGCAGGCAAAAAAATCCCTTGGAGCATGAGCAATGCTCCAGCTGATACTCCTCCCGGAAAGTTTGCGGCACGGAAAGGGTCACGAGGAGAGGCCAGGAGAG